TTCCCGTTCTGAGTGTAGCACCTGTGTAATTACAAATTACAACTGTGCTAACCACTGTACTAAATAGAGATGCTTGCCACTTAATTAAACCCTTTCTTAGGGAGGAAATGCATACACATTCACACTATCTCCTCTTCTTAATTGGTCTCAGACATTACAGGAAGCTAGTCCCCAAGATTTGTCAGCCAGCCAGCCCACAGATGTTTCAGAAAGAAAACCAGGTCAGCATTAACAGGTTCACTTCTTTGGCTCTAGGCGACAGGTCAGCACATCAGTGTCTGCTGTCTGCAGCTGGCAGGCTCCACTAGGTGAAAATGGTCCTTAAGCATTGGCCTGAATTCCTGTCAAATCCACACTTCTCTTTACAGGCCTGGACAGCAAGCATGAAAGACAGCTATAGCAGCTTAATGCGGTATTGTCACTGAAGCCAACTAAATTTATCCTTGCAAATTGAAGGGCAACTACAGGTACTCTCCAAACCCATGCTTCATTAAAAATAACAGCCCCCCCCGGTCAGCCTCACACTGTAGGCATCGGGGGGCCAAGACCTGACTTCCAACATAACCACAATTAGATGTAACTCAAGAATGTCCAACACCATGGCTGGAGCCTCTCACACTACTCTTCTTTCTGATCCGTCAGCCTCATCTTTAATTTCCATACCGTACTCCATGGCCCCTCTCTCCATGCTTCCCTGTGATGGGCATGGAAAAAAGGAAAATGATTCTGAAAAGTAACATCAACAAAACCTTTTCCTTTATCTTCTACATAAAAAAAACTGAGCCTGAGCTGACAGTACTATCTGCAACAGAAAATGGTGCCCCAAGAAGGAAAGATCTACTTAAATAGGTCATTATCAATATATTTGATCACCTTCCAATCCTTGATTACTCTAACATCAAAAGTCTATCACTGATATAAAATAATTCTCCTGTGTATACAAAGAACTTTAAGCCCAGCAGGTGAAAACGTACAAACTTCATATAGTCACTACTTTCAATTAAAAACCCCCAAACAAAAAAACAAACAAACCCCCCACATAACATCTTACTGTTTAGTCTTGAAAAAATAATATTTGGACTAAAACTCCTCTGAAGCAGTTGCTTGTGGTCCACTTGTCAGCCTTCACAAATCTGTAAAACTTTCCATCAAAATTTCAACCTTTCAAAACTTGCAATCTTCTGCCATGTATGGATAAATACAAATTCAGTATTAACCCTTGCCAGCTGCTATCAATGACTATCATTATCTGACTTACTGCCTCATCTTTAAAACCTACCTGATGCACATTATTTTGCATCATTCTGTACTCTAGGGTGCATCTGTTCATGGACAGCAAAATCACCTGGCTAATTCATTAGAGGACAAAGGTGATACCAGCCAAATGTACACAAGCAGCAACAAAAAAGGCTTATTTAGATTAAAAGCTCACAGAACAAGAACTCTCATTTTTTATTTGGGTATCTTCTACATCCCACAGAAGGGTAAATCCAGAGCAGTAACAGTGCTGCTCTAGAGGATGCAATTCTAAGGCTTGGGGTGGGGAGAAAAGAATCGGGCTTTGAAGAACTCCTATTAAACAAGACAAAAGGAACAATGTGTGGTGTAAATAGGAAGTTTACAGAGCTGGTTAGAAAAACATTCTACTCTGTATGCCATTAGAGAAATATGCAAAAATCTTCTTCATACCAAGTTACTACGAGTTAGTACTGGACAAGGAGACAGCAATTGCATGCATGTAGCATTAAATATATTTTAAAGGATTTGATAGCAATAACGAACAATTTTCCTTAGACTAGTTGACCCTTCTTAAGGTGACCAGTGGATGGTTTTTACACAAGGCTGAACCTGCCAGACTGGAGCAGAAGACCAGCTTTCTCCGGCAGCAGGAGAAAGGTTGCCATCTCGTGGGTGGTTGTGCACAATGACAGCCAAATAAAGCACCCGCCTTCTCTCACACACAACCTTCCTGAAATATTTTTCTGTTAAAATACATCTTGTTAATGGCAGCCAAGAAACTACCTGGAAAACATCTCTAAGCTAATAGTCCAACTCTGAAAAGACAACCAACTCTGTCACAATTAACATGATTCTTCAGTGAAGATAGCCAACAACTCAATTACACAAATACTGGATTTTGAAGAAAAACAAACTATACCCACACATCTTCGAGAGTATAAGAAGCTTGTTTTCTCAACACCACTGTTTCCTAATAACAAAGTCCTACAATAGCCACACATGAAAACCCTTCTCAAAGAAAGTAAATTCCAAAATAAGTAAAACTTTCTACTCACAAAGCAAGAATTTCAAAATGTAGTGTTTTTTCCTTTTACAGTTGAAACCAAATCATACAGCAGGAATATCATGTCAGAGCAACAAATATATGAAAATCCCTGGCAGCATAACAGTAACATACTAAGAAGACCTACAAGACAAAATTACATCCCCAATAAAAGACAAGAGCCAACTATACCCACAAGTAGGCAGTAAGAAGATCAAGATATCAAAAGGACATATAATTGAACCCAAAAAAGATTATTTAGATTCATAGTGTGTATACATGAACCTTACATAACTATGGTGTGTATTATTTTATTATCTGGGTATTGTGTATATTATAAGGATATTATATAATGTTTTTATAAAAGGCAGGCGTAATTCCAAGGGCAAATTTTGGAAAGAACACTCCGCATCAGCAATGTAAGCACACCAACATGCTCTGGAGCTAAACCTGCCTTTGTTTCCATAGTTTATGAGAGCAAGAGGAAACCCCGGGAGCTTACAAGTGGAATCCAGAACATAACATAGCAAACATAAGATTAGCCTTTGAGTAAACTGTTAATGAACTTGTCTTCCCCCCAAAAGATGAAACATTTAGCTCTTTCATTGTTACCAAAAAGAGACCAGTACTAAAACCAGTAGGATTACCACTACACTCCTAAAACCTGCACCTCCTTTCCAAGTATTATTACATAAAATTACACTCCAAGGTCTGATGATCATAAGCCAATCTGACAAAAAGCCTGCTGGGACCAGGCAATCAGTGAACAGAAACCACAGAGAGCAGACACAGAACAAGCCCTGTGGAAGTGCTGGAAGAAATGAAAAACCTTTCTCTCCTAAAACACCACACACTGCACACACTTCCCTGATGTTCTCTGTACCAACGAAGAGCATGATAAGAAAAGATGAGAAATCCTAATGCATTCCCTTTTTCCTTGCTTATCAAGTTATTAGCAAACAGCACATTGCTCTGGCTCTTTGGGACAGCCATCCAACTTGTTCCTATTTTCTTCCAAGAGATAGGCAATTAACTCTTCTCAAGCTTTCACCAACAGCATCCTCCAGGAACCTACCTAGGACAATGATCTCTCATCATCTTCATAACCCTGACCAAAAATTTACGTAATTCATGCTGTAAGAAGTCTGAGCAACAACAACAAAAAAGAGAAAGAGAAAGGGGAAATTATCCAGTTCCACTTGCTACAATTGCATGCAAAAGATGATTTTTCTCAAGAGTAATTCCCTTTTCTGTATGAGAAGATGCCATTAACAGCACTAAACAATATCGCCCAATCAAAAACCTAACACTTTACAGTGAATATTCTGATTTGAAATGAAGGAGTTATTAGACTTCAACAGGCAGAATCACTTGGTTCCATTTCTTTCCCCATGTGAAATTACTTCATTAAGCCTTTAACAGCTTGAGGTAAGTAAAAAGCTTTTACTCCACTGTCTGATAGAACAGGTTTTGTGAAAAGGATTCATACTATTTCTGTCCATTCTTTGCCATAGGAGATTTAGCACAATTCTAACTTCAACTAAATGTATGTATCCTCAGCAGATGCAGGGGAGAATCTCAAGCATGCTATCTACTGGCATGCCTCTAGAAAAAGGTTCATTATCCTCATTAAGCAGAAAACAGTGAGAAAATTAAGGGGGCTTCCCTAAGTTTAACACAAGTATCTGTTACACAAGGCAATAATGTGCCCAAACCATATGTGCATATCCAAATACTCCTACTTCCAAACAGTCCCAGCAGTGTGCCGATATAGCTCTTGTCAGGCATGTGTAATGAATGGAATAAAGAAACAATTGGTAAAATTAGGTTCTGTGGTTCCTGTGGCAGCTCAGGCCTTGATTGAGTACGAAGGGTGATCTGTACTGTAATGCTCATATCAAGACAGTTATTTACAAAGAAGCATCTCCTCTTCTAGTGTAACAACAATGTAAATATTTAAAGAAATTAAAGCAATGCTGAAACATATGACACACAAAAGCATCGTAGCTACACAGAAAGCCTTCTGAGGTGGAAGAAAAAGATCAGAAGATGTACCATTTCCAGCCCCTTTTTATGCCACATACATACCAGAGACCTTAAAAAAATCTGGTTCAGTGCTCCAGAAAGAGCTCTTAAGTAACAGTACATAAAGAGACTGGCTGGTGTTCCAAAACATGGGGGGAGGGGGGCGTTTCCCCCCTTTTATAAGAAACTTGAGTTTATTTTATCTAACAAGAGAAATGGAATAACTAAAACTGTTCTTAGGCTGCTTTAGGGAAGAAAAGTCATAGCAACATGATCTGGCAGTTTATTTCTATATCCAAATTTTAAAGAAACCATATTTACAACAATTTGTCACAAGTAACATACATACTCTTCTTTGGACATACCCTAAAATTCTTACAAGCTCACTTATTAAGCTAGCAGAATCTCTAAGTAAGCACAAATGTGGCTACAAGCAAGAAGTTCAAGGAACTCAAAATCGAACCTTGGCCTCAGAGACATTGGTCAAACTGACTTGGTGAAAAACATGTTGGTTCCCAAAGATACTTTATAACAGTGTGTATCTTATGGTTCTTCTCACATATAAGTACTGGAAAAGCTTCCACATGAAGAAGAGATAGCAAGAAAGCATGACCCACACTCTTCAGAGATCAGATTATGAGGAAAGGCAAGTCGTTTAAAAGTTTTACCTCCCTACAGAGCTGTAAGCACATACCTGATATTCAAGCCAGTGCTCTGGTCCAGCTTCTCCCAGCTTTTTAATTTCTCCGTAAGTTTCTAAAGTAGAAATCAAATAAGAGTTAGAGACACAGATAAATGTTCAAACAGTTCATCTGCCACACAGTTTTCTCATAATTCTTCATTCAAAGTCAGTGTCTTTCCTTTATCTTCTGTGGATTTCATGATCTTCTTATCTAGCACTTTCGGTTTGTCATTCTCCAGCCCTTACAAATATTTTCCCTGCCCACAGCTCTACAACAGCACAGAACCCATGTTACACTTCAGCACTATAGATAACCGAACCCTGTGAGCTGCCATCACTGTACTAGACCTTGGTAAACTCGAGTCTTGGCAGTGGAGAAGAAATCAAGCTGTATTCTCAACACTGGTTCTGCAGCAGTGCCCATTTCTCCACTTCCAGTTTCTCCTGTAGCTTTTTACTTCCAGTCAGTACCAAAATAGTATTATCTAAACCTGACCAGATACCACTATAGTTCTGCAGATCAACAAATTTACACAATCAGGTTAATCTCTTGACAACCATTGTATGCCTGATATAGAGTGAGATGGAAGCAAGATTATTTTATTCATGTGAGACCATGTTCCAGGCCTGGCAGCAATCCAAGTGTGTATCAAGGTTCTTACTGCACACCTGTTTGGCAACACCATGTCTGGGCATAGCTTAACTCAAAAAAAAGCCTTTCCAGAAGAAGAAAGGTAAAAGAGAAACAGCAAGGCCAAAAAACCCCACTATGATGAGATTGTTCTTTACACAAAATCTCCAGCTGACCAGTAGATACCCTTTTTCACCTTCATTGCCATGGCTCCCCTCATGCTGGCATTTAAGTTTGGGAATGCCTAGTCCAAATCTGTTAATTAAAACAGGTATCACATCTCAACTAACACAATACAGGAAGAGTCTAAAAGACAGGACAGGCAACAAACAAACCCCCTATTCTGCTCATCCACCAAATGTTCCCAGCTCCTCACCTCATTTTCCAATTCAACAGTCACTAGCTGTGCTTGGACTTTCTCATAGCGTTCCAGTTTTCTTTGGAGACCTTCTACCTCCTCTTTAAGCAATCCATTGTTTTCTTTCATTTCCCTGTGGTGAAAGAGAGCCGACAATTAAAGAGCCATGCAACTCAAATCACTCTCACAAACTTCCCAACACACAAGGGAATCATATGACATTCAACTGACTCACTTCTATAACCTTCCCTGCAAAACCTCTGCTACAAAAAAAAAATGCAGCTTTATTGAACTGGTTTTTTTCTACTCCAAGTACCTATGGACAATCATGTCCAAACAACCTGGAGAATTGTATCTCCTTTACTGATCGACAAAACAGCATGAAGGGTAGAAAAAAATCTCCCAACTCTGATCTTCATTCAGGCTGAACACAGGGTTGGAACACAGCAAGCAATAGACACTTGGGCTTACTGAGTACTTGGTGATGACAGCAAGCATTGAGATTTCTTGGGTTTACTTTAATAGAGGTATGCAAGGGTGAGATAAAACTGGTTTTTTTTAAAAAAAAAAAAATACATTTAATCTGTTGATATCATGTTTCTGTGCACAAAAAACAAGCATGAGAAAAGATTCCGAGATAAACAATTTAAAACGATAATGAAACAAGAACAAAGCCAAGGGAAACTACTTAATTTTAGGATAAGAAAGAGCTGGCAAGATCACTCATGTAATTTAGGCTTTTTTTTTTTTTTTTTTGATGCACCAAAAGATGGATGTTAAGTTTACTCTTAAAAAAAAAAATCTTTAAGGCAAGTTATTTCATAGTACACAGGAATTTAATTTTTCAAATTAATTGCCACTTCAGAAACCCAGAAAGTCTACTCTACCAAGGGTTATATCAAGAGTGCTTTAGAAATTTAAACAAAAGACTTTCCAAATACTATGCTGGAACAACAGGCCTTTAAAATAGTAGCAAAAACAGTTATTAAAGAAGCGTTCAGCTGTCTCTTCTCTCTATAGGGATTTCTTTCCCAAAGTGGTACAGAGTTCATCGCTATCTTTACACACTGATTTTGTTCTAACAAACAGATATCACCATCCAGAACAATCAACACACATTCTGTAAGGCTCTCACTGTGCTCAGGAAGATCACCCAGATCTTGTCAAATCCTCTCATCTAGTAACCATCACAACAATGCTCAATTCATATGCAGTATTTATATGAAATATTTAAAATTCCTTCTAAAGTTTCCCATATGAAATCCCAGCAGAGGGATCTGAAAGTGCATATAGTGCAATTATAGCAGGTATAGAACACAAGATAAACCTCTCAACAACTGAACCCTTCTTTCACCTGAAGTAGGCATTTTCCTCCCTGAGCTGGCGCAATTCCCGCTCCATTTTTGGGAAACGAGCCAGCTCTGCCTTCATGTTCTTGACAATTAGAGCATCATGTTCCTGCTGGGAGAACTTCTGTTCCAGATCCTGGAAAACATGGCATGACAAGAGGACAGCAATGATTAACTTGGAACTTGTAAGAGCTACTTCTCCATTGTACTTTTATAACTCAAATCAATGACTTGAATGAAGTTGGAAGGGAACTCAATAGGTCATCTGGTCCAATCCGTTGCTCAAAGAAGGGATGACTCTTGTTCCCCTTGTTGCACCTGGGCTGGCCTCTTCTCTACACCCGTTTACCCTAAGTTCATAAAAAAAAAAAGAATCTCTGCTAATCATTAAAAGGACCTTCTTCTAATGACTAAATCAAATCAGTAATTTTCTTGTCCTCTATCTCTCCATCAATGAAACATAGAGAGGGGTATTTGGATGGCCTGCAAGAAATAGGAATGAAAAGAAACACAACCATGTATTTTAGCATTTTGGTAAATGTTGGGGTTTTTTCCCCCTAAAGGAAAAAAAAAAGTTTATTTGAGCTGTATTGCAGCCTGATATCCTGTTTCCCGACCTTTCCTTTCAATGGAGGAAGTCTCTTTTTGGAATGGCAGACCTGGCAGTGAGGCTGGCTTTCAGTGTAGCTTTACTTTACAGCAACCACAGGCAATGACACTCTTAGCACCTCCTCAAACCAAAGTAACTCTCCATATCTGCCTTTCTCAGGAAGATAAGTGAAAAAGATACACTCCCACCAACCTACATGTTAATTTGAAAGGACACAAAAAGCATCTCTACACTCACATTTAAGTCAGTGTGGTTTAGAAGGCTTTGCAAGCAATTGCACTTTCTAAAAGAACTAAACCAAACTCCAGAGGAAGGATTTTCTGGGAAGCAAAAAAGCAGCTGTAGCTGCTAGGTTCATCCTCCACCATCTGAAATAAAGAGTGCTCTAGAAGGATTCTTTTGCAGAGCTATCTTGTACTCTGGCACAAGATCAAACAGAGCATTCTCCAGAGCACTGCGTAAGGATATAAATCACCTTTCTATAGAGAAAGCACAGGTGGATTTTTTTTTTTTTCAATCAATTGATACAACAAAGGTAAATATATTACAGATAATTGTAGGTGGCCTGATCCATCCAGTTGAATTTATCCAACTTCAGCTCTTACTGGCCATCAGACCAAATTCTTGTATGACAAACTAATCTTTTATTTCTGCAATAGTCATTTTTTAAAAAAAAAAAACAAAAAACAAAAACTGTTCTGTCCTTCTATGGAAAAAATTAAAAACTAAAGCTTTATAGAGGCCACAAAGTTTCTTACCTTAATCTTCTGTTCATATTCTCCCAGGAGGGACTGGCTTGCTTGCAACGTCTGGATTTGCTGACTAGCCTCTTGCCATTTTCTATTAGGTGTAGACACAAGAGAGATTTAGCATCTAGGAATCATGTACCAGAAACAACCTACATGCAGAAGTGTCTGACAAACATTTTCAAACACCACTAACAAGGTACTGTTACACAAGATTGTCTCTCATACAGTTTCGCACCCATACCATCTCCCTCTAAATTAGAGACAAAAATACACATTTTAATAAAAAGATGCATCTTGAGGAGTATCCAAAAATCAAGCCACCTTAACTCTGAAACCAATATACACTCACAGTAAATAAACAGCACCTTTGAAATGGAAGAGTTGAACTTAGTAAGCAAGGAAACACTCATATCTTTCAACTACCCCTCAACTATGATTTAAGGTTTGATATTTTTGTTCTGTTCCGTCTATAAAGTTCAGATTAGCCTTTCCCACCCACATGCCTTCTGTTAACTCTCTACCATGAACATGAGACATCACTGAGATTTTAAGCTCAAGTATTTTTTTTTTCCTCAAGGTACAATTAAACTGCACCTCAGAGCTTGTTTCAAACACTGGTTATAACCTCCACATCCAGATCAAAGAACCCCTTTGAAGAGTGGAAATCAAACGCTGCTGAAAGTTTTCCGAATGACAACAGCTGCAGAAGACTGAAGTTTCATTTGCCTTTTTCTCCCTACAGTCATTCATCCCCTTCTTACTTATGTTGAACATCCAGCTGTTCCATCAGTTCCTGCTTCTGAGAGTCTTGGCTTGTCATCTGCATCTCTTGATTCATTATGTTCCACTGCAGCTCTGATATTTTCCCTTTTAATATAGTGATTGTCTGAATTAATAGAAAGAAAGAACAAACACAAAAGGCTGGACATTATAGATGGTGATAAGACAGAAATCATAACCAAATAAAAAGTAAAAACACGGAATCTAGAAACACTCCCACACTCTTGCAAACCTTCAGACCTGCAAACTCACCTCAAAAACAAAAGCAAGAGAAAATCATTTAGTTGCTTTCATCTGTCACCCAAATTGTCATTTCCATTACCTATTAAGTGGGTGACCTCAAACCGGCAGGAAAAATATCAAGCTTCAAAGCTAGATGATGATAAAACACAAGTATATATATTAAAATTAAAAAAAAAAAACCTCCCACAACCATTCCAAATATATTTTGTCTGGGTTTCAAAATTGAAAATGTCTGGGTTTGCCACAACAAAATACCAGAAGTATTATGCTTTCCTTAAAATTAGAGGCCGGTGGTTTTTAAAATTTTGTTCTAAATATCTTAACCGTAAAGGAAAACTCACAGGCTTGTTTCAAATAGCCATTACTTAGCTTCCTTTAACAGAGAAAAAGAGAAAAATGTAAAAATATTACATATGTAGAGTGTTTTCTAGACAGAGAGACAAGTAGGGCTGGCTCTCATCTTGATACTAACAGATATGTGTCTGAATACGGAAATAAAAACAACACAGAATTGCTGTATGCATTTTGTATGTGGGTTTAGTTTCTCTCACACACCATCACTGTCTCCCTGTTTATAACCACTGATAACTGGCACACTGAATCTGTTTACCTGCCTTACCACACAAGTACATTTCCAGTGACACCTAGGCAGGAGGAAGGTTTAAGGACTGGTGCAGGAAACCAAATTAAACAGAAAAGATATAAATTAACTAATTAAACTTAACTGTAATGGTATCTGAAAAGTTTGAGGGTTGAGAAGATGGTCTGTTCATCCAAAAGAACTGAAATTATTATCCAAGCATTCATTCTACAGTGGAACACAGGGGCATTTAAGACACTTTGGGAAGACATCCTTTGTACATAACTTCGGTCTCATCCACTCTATAGTTCTCCCTACGGCCCTGAACACCTTCCCATCATCTCCTCCATCGTTTCCCCTTTCTTTACTCAGTGTCATGTAACCTGACTTCTACACCTAGATGCTGTATGTGTTGCCTTGCACTTTTTTCTCCTTCTCTATTTCAACCTAATAAATCTCTTCTCATTATTAACTAACACAGCAACATCTTCTGACCTGCTCACCTGTGTCTGGACTTGGTTAGGTTCTAAACTTTCACAGCAAAGACACACACCACCAGCGTTTATTCATTTCCAGATGATGAACATAGTGATTCCAATTTTGGTTTGGTTTTGGTTTTTTTTAATTAGAAAGGGCATTTTCAATTCACAAGAACTGCAAGGTCACCTGAAACTATGGACAAATTAAAAAATTACTCTGTTCTTACTTCATTAGATTCAGCTAATTTGCTCTCCTTCTCTTGCAGCTTCTTACTCATGGTCTCCATGCTCTTCTTATAGGATTTGTTCATCTCCATTTGTTCTTTCAGTTTATTTTCAGCTTCTGTTTCCCTTTCCTGATATTGCTTTATGCGTGTGAGCAGCTCCTGGTTACGGTCAGCCTCTCGCTTGCAAAGAAAGAAAAAATGCAAAGAGACATAAGAAAAAACTAGCACAGAGGTGAAACCATTTTTGTTTCTCCTGTCTCCATTCCTCATTACTGTGGTCATCAAGGCATCATCATGAAGTAACATTACTCAGACCATAGCTTTAACCTTTGCACTAGCAAGGGCAAAAATCTTACCGCAGCAACTCGATGTCAAGGAACTACCCAGGGCAATGGAGCTAGAAAATTAAGAGAGAGAGACTTCCAAATCTCTTTGACTGAGAGAATATGAGACTACAGAGATGGCTTCACAGAATCCCTGCACACTCTCCAGCAGATCAAAGATGAAAACATTTGATGCACCAATTTAAAGCTGACCCATGCATAGCAAATTGACTTTCAGAAACTACTCAGATCTCAACAGTTGGGTTAATAAGACAAACTTCCCTCTGCAACTTCTGTAAATTGTATGAGGCTATTTAATAGCAAAGAAACAGGGTTTAAATGCACAGGATTATCAATGACTACAATAAATATTTTTGCACTCTGGAAACCTTTCATACACTATTTCAGTTTATTCCTACCACAAATTGATTAACACTTATTGAAAAAACATGCAGTAAATTGCTTTGCTAATCAAAGCAAATCGAGACACGGATTTACATAGTAAACAAGGATTATGCAAAGCAATGTGAGGTTCCTAAAACCTTTATCCACATGACTCAAAAAACCACAGAATTTGAGCAGGGTAATTACCACAGTGTTGGATTAGTGCTGCTCCCTTTTTCTGTACCAGTATTTCAAGGGTTTCTGTGACTGACTCAGCTACATTCCAGTTTGAACTCTCCGTGGCCTAATCCCACATCACCTGACTTCAGAGGAACAAGGAATTTAGTCACTGACTCGCTATTTCACAAATACACACTAAATCTGTCACCCAGCACCCTTGTAAAATACAACAAAACATGATTATTTTCTGAAGATTTTTAAATAATCAGCCACATATAAGACCTTTATTATGCTACAAAACCCACAGATCTACTACTCATTTCAGCAACGCAGTTAAGCAAACATATGTGGGCATAAAACCAGAAACCAAGCAAAGCTATTAGTCCCTGAGTGAGGCTCACTTTTATCAGCACAGGCTCTCTTGTGTGACAGTGCATGGTTGGCACTGCTGCCATTCCAATTAATTACAGTCACACAAACTAACGCCTGCAATTGTGCCAGTAGAAGTTTAAATTCATCTGAGAGAAAAACACAAATACTTCTGGGAGAAACAAATAACAAATCCCTTTTGGTATTGCTACCCATGACAACTTAGTGCTAAACTAACAGAATTTAGTGATCAGATCATCAGCTTGTCAACCAAACGAGGCTTCAGCATTCAGACTCTTGCGTACATTAGCAAGTTAGTGCAACGCACTGTGAGGGGATCTGTAGAGCAAAACAGTTGGTGCTGGGAACTTGACACCCACACTGCCACCACGTTTGCAGTAAATGCATTCCAGGAGCATTTACTACAAATTTGCTGAAGTCTTGCTCAGAAGACCGTGTCCATTAGCAGTTGGAGAACACGAGGCTTGCTCCCGGACTGTATCTTTCAGTTTAGTTTCATCCAAAGTTGACTATACACATTCTGAAACACACCACTGCAAACCAAAGCACAGCACGTGAGAAGTCAAGAGCATATCCCTGATCCAAACTAAAACACCAACACAGATGCACTACATATGTTCCGACTTGGGTCTGTGGTATCAAGCCATCTGCAACTGTCATACTTACCTCATAGTTTCTGGCATTGGTATTAGCTGCCTTCTCTAGCTCAATGCGAGCTCGTTTGTGGCTAAGCTCCATCTGCATCTTCTCTCGTTCCACCTGCAGGAGCTGGGATTTGGAGTGGATCTGCCCAGCTTGTTCTTCCAACTGGCCGGTTCATGTGTGAAAAGGGACATTATACACCATTAACAGCATTGCAGTGACATCACTACCTCCCACCTGGCACTATTCAGCTGACACTCCCATGTCATTTTATAAATTACAGGGAAACTATCACAGTATTCATGGTACTTCGCCCATCAGCTGCATATGGGGAAACCAAGAGTTCAACAACACAGAAACCCACATCAAATCAATGTTAGTTGGAAAGAAGTGAATTTCAAGATCTTCATTCAGAATTTCTCACCCGATCTCTAGAGGTCCTCTGACAAAATGCACTTTCCTTAAAAAAGGTTAATTATGAACTCCCCAAGCATCATAAAAGTAACAGCAGTTAACCAAGAAGCAGAGAGCATGCTCCCCATGAAATTTAACTGCTGAGCAAAATAAGATGCTTTTTTCTACTACCTGCTACAACATTACGCTTCAGTTTTTCATTGAAATGACCTTACAGCACAGACAACATTGATAGAATACCGCTCATCTAAGCAGTATACATTCAATAAACAGCTAATGAACACTCTCTAACCAGAGAGAGCCTCCTCTAACCATCTCTGTAAGCAGAGATATACCACAGACAGAAAATGCAAACATTTTTGTCAACATTCCAAATGCAAAGCAGGTTTACATTTAAAAGAATTTTATACTTAAGAGACTGAAATAGAAATTACATTAAGATACAGAATACAAAAACTTCGTGCCAGCTAATAAACAGCCCTTATGGTCCAAGATGTCAACTTAAATTCATGCTTTATGAACATGAGGCAGCTTACAGGAAAAAAAAAAAATGTGGATACAAACAGAAGTGAACAAGAAAGTGTAACTGGTATGTGTCCAGGCAAAGAAACTTTAAGGAAGACTGTAAAAAAAATAACAAAGTGACTTGCTAGAAAAATATTAACAGATATAAAGCTCCTTTGTTCAGCAATATGGAAACAATTTACAGTTTAATTGCCTGAGCTAGCAGGGTATTATAACTATATATTATAACAGCCTGATATAACTAGCAGGCAAAAAATTCAAAGAACGTTTCTTAATTTTTTACAAAACAGAAATAAATATGTCTGACACTTTAAAAAAAAAATCTAAATATTCTAGAATGTTGACCAAAAGGAAGTTTCCATGAATATCACTTTTAGAGAGCATGGACAGATCTTAATTAAATCAATCCAGATTCCTGGAATCACAAGGAGCATACAGCTGCAAGCATCACCAAGCTGAGGATGCCTCACCTGCATCCTCTGCTGGTACTGAATCTGAATGGAGCTCTGAGACGATCCTGGCGTAGCCAGCCCAGACACCCCCTCCATACGCCGTGAAATAAAGTTGTTGAGGGATCTCAGAGTAGAGAAGACAGTTGTATTATCTTCCAAGTCCTCCATGGCTCTGGAAATACACAAAAAGTCATCAGCAAAGCATTCAGAGCAACCTACAGTATACTGGCTGCTCTTCTAAAAGAGATATATCACTGCCCTGAGGAAACACTAAATGCAAGGTCTTCCAGTTTACAGGGTACAAAACCCAACCTGCCAGTCAATTCTGGGACCCACAGATACTGCTGCCATCAACTTGAACCAGAAAACACCACTCAAACACAGCTGAAGCTGCAGGCCTCTGAAATGAGAAACTGATGCAAAAGCGCCTGTGCTTCCCTGAGCGGTTTGCTTTTATTTAAATATATTTTTCCCTGAATCTTAGCCCATAAGCGTACAAATAAGAACTCTCATAAATTACACAAAATTGAATTCTTCTTTTCTATATAATCAAGTTAACATTGTAGGACATGAAGATCTACAGCACATAACACTAACAAACAGAACTCCAAGCATTTGAGGCTGATGGGGGGAACTAACGACATATCAGCAGCAAACCCTGCCTTTGGCGCAACTTGATTCTAGTTTCCAAAAAGCACTTTGGAACCTCACGTCCAGCAACAAGACTTCCCAAGTTCACAGATCGTTTCTATAAGTAAAACTGTGTCTCCTTATTTACATAAAAGTTTTTGCAATTCTTCCTTCAAATTTGGAGGGGCACTAACTAAAAGGCCAAAGACAAGCCAAGCCTGGAGCTCAGAAAAGCCTGCAAGGTTTCCCAGGAGACTTCAGGAAGCCTCAGGTGAGTCCCTGTAGCGACTGCATGCCCTACGAGGCCCCAGAAGCACAGAAGGTTCAGAACCAGGAAAGGTAACCCACAACACTCCCGCAGGCTTGCGCCAGAGACACAGATCTGAGGAGAACTTTCAGGAGCACACGCTGTCCTGTAACACTGTTTGGATTTGTATCACCACGAAGAGAAGATACAAGCAGAAGCAGAGGCAACAGATGAGCCAAAACCCAAATGAAAACATGTATTCGAAATGAGTACTTCGGGACCACATGCGAATAAATTCAAGCAAGCCAACTGGTAACCGTGCTGCAGCGAGCCTGTTCTGAAATTAAAAACAGCGCTAAGCATTAAGACCCGCACACCCCGCCCCCTCGGTGCAGAAGCCCTTCGGCAAGGGCTCCCGGAGGCATCACACAGACACTGGCCTAGCAGGCCTGGAGAGCTGTGGGGAGCTGTGGGGGCTCGGGCCAGCCCAGCACCCTCGCAGGGGTCCTCAGCACTGCCAGTAAAGCCTACGGGGATGAACAGGAATGGTGCTGCCCGGAGATGCTTTATTTCACAGATGTGTCTGTGCTCAAGAGAAACCTTCACAGTTTTACTGCTTTTCAAATATTTTAATGCAAGCCATTTGGTGTCATATTTTTTAAAAATGTATACCAGCATGAGCTACATGTGCATTAGCAAATGTCTCTATATTAGTATAAATACAAGAAGCAGAAAAGCACAGTCTGACTTGTAATCCATACAGTTATTCCAAATAGATTGCATGGTCTTAAACTTTGGCTTATTAGACTGGATCTTACATATGGAAAGAATTAAAATGCTGGATTTACAGTGCAGGCTAATCAGAGCATGTTTAACTTATGATGCCCCAGAAGACCCAGAAGGTCACAGCCTCCCAGACACCTGGCACAGAATCTGATTCTGCTCACACCAGTGTAAACCTGACCGAAGCCCAGCATTAGGCAGGCTTTACCACGGCGTAAGGCAGAGCAGGATCTGACCTCCAGCACTCTAATAGGAGCAAGCTGCAAAAAGGAAATACCTCATTTCCCACTGACTAGTCCATACAAGCGCAGAGACAATAGAGCCAAGTGTGCGCTGCCGGCAGCGCTCCCATACTGGAGTGCTGGCTGGCGTTCGGGCAGCTTTGCCATGACATCGTATCTGAAAAAGCCATCAGCCTGCCTGTTCCTTCACTTAGAATAAAAGGTCACTTCAGGGCTTTTAGGGGTTTTTTTCCAAACAAAAGAATTATCTTTTTTTAAAAAAATACTCTGCCCTGAGATCACAAAAGCTCTTAAAAGCACATCATGATATCACTGTGAATGAAGCCAGAACTCATGGGAAGGTGGATATGTTATTTACTTCTGCTAATTTATTTCTGGACAAGGCTAGAC